TGCTTTCTTGCATTTCCTTTTCTTTGGGATGGTTTTTGTTGCTGCCTCCTGTACAATGTTACAAGTCTCTATCCAAAGTTCTTCAGGCACCCTGTCCACCAAATCTAGTTCCTTAAATCTGTTCTTCACGCCCACTGTGTATTCATAAGGGATTTGGTTTAGACTATACCTCACTAGCCCAGTGGTTTTTCCTACTCTCTTCAGTTGAAGCTTGAATTTTGCTATGAGAAGCTGATGATCAGAGCCACAATCAGCTCCAGGTCTTGTTTTGCTGACTGTATAAGAGCTTCTCTATCTTTGGCTGCGGAGAATATAATTAATCTGATTTTGGTATTGCCCATTATGTGATGTCCATGTGTAGAGTCGCCTCTTGTGTTGTAGGAAAAGAGTGTTTGTGATAACCAGCTTGTTCTCTTGACAAAACTCTATTAGCCTTTGCCCTGCTTCGTTTTGAACTCCAAGGCCAAACTTCCCTGTTGTTCCTTTTATCTCCTGACTCCCTACTTTAGCATTCCAATCCCCTAGAATTAGAAGAACATCTTTCTTTGGTGTCAGTTCTAGAAGGTGTTGTAAATCTTCATAGAATTGGTCAAGTTCAGTCTCCTCAGCATTGGTGGTTGGTGCATAAATTTGTATTACTGCGATGTTGAAAGGTCTGCCTTGGATTCGTATTGACATCATTCTATCGTTTTTGAGATTATATCCCATTACAGCTTTTTGGATTCAAATGTCTTTTGCGTATGCGCTAGCATGTCAAAGTGACAATCTGAAGAGATGGAGGCTGCTGTATCCAGGTAGCCTGTCCGTGTGAACCAGAACCCCAAGGTGAGCAACCTTGTGCCCCTGAGACCCTTAAGGAGAAGGCTGCATAGACCACAGAAAACATTGAGGGGGGATTAATTGATCAGAATCAGCACCTTATTTAAATTGAACATCAATATTCCCAGAAGCTTCCAAAAGCAGCTCACTACATTTTTCCACTGGGAAAACCATTTTTGGCAGCAGAAGGTTCTAAGGGGGCCAGAGGTCACAAAAGTAGTCTTGGGACCCAAGTGGCCCCGGGCTACATTTTGCATTCTCCTAATGCTAAGCACTGCTCCACTGATTTCTGCAGCCACTAACACATTCTCATGACCCACTATCAAAACAAATTCTATATCCCTCTTGCTCACAGCTTGGAAATGGCCATAGCTATTCCAGTTGGGTCTGACACTTGTCTACTCATACACATAAATATGCCATACCAAACTATATATTAAATAAGAATTAAATATTGGTCAGGATTATATTCCCAAGCATCTGTGAAACACCACTGCAGCACACAAAAAAGCATGGTTAAATGTTTAGCATAGCCATGACCTGCCTGTTTCAAGTAATCATGACTCTTTTCCACTCACACTATACTATACATTATTACAATAGTACAATTTCAATACTGCAAGGAAAATGACCTGCAC